GAAATCCCAAGCCTATTTCTAAATATTAAATTGCCTTCCCAAAGTGACATCATGCCATTGTTTCTTCCATGACTGGAAAACCGCTGTTCTGCTTTGTTTATTTTTAAATTGTAGATAAGTTCGAAACTGGGAGTGCTCATCACCCAGACCCTGTTCAGATGGCTCAGCCAGTGCCAGTCATGGTTCCAGTGAAGGGGCTCAAGGACCTAGGGACACTGCAGAGCAGAAGTTGTGCCCCGTTGTCCTGGCATTGGGTCAACAGAACCAATTAATTAAGGACACACTGAGCCTTAATTATCTGGATAAATCAGACTTCCCAAACAGTAGTAATCAATATTCAATTAATTAAAACATGGCATGTTGTTTAAAAAAAAAAAATCCTTAATTGGTTCTTAAACTAGGATTCTGGATTCAGAATGTCTGTAAACCCTCTAAAATTTAAATATAGATTATTTTTGTGTAAACTTTTGTGGAGGCAAGAGAACATACCTCTTTAACAAATTTAAAAGGGGTCTGTGATTAAATAAGAGGCTAAGAACTTCCTTAATTAGTAGGTGAAATTTCTTAATTGGTATGTGAAAATATATTCTAATTGTACGTGGCTTTTAAAATGTGCAGTGATTGCTGGCCAAGTTTCTTATCCTTCTCCCTCAACTTTCCAAATGCTTCTTAAAGCTTTTCATTACACAGATACTCACTTACAACATCTGACACACAGTTCTCAAAATTTATGACAGGAGAGTCAAATTAAAATTTAAATATATTATTATTATCATCATTTCAACTTGGGGTATGTTTGACTATTTCTGCTAAATAGGCCAAAAGTTGTTTAGTTATAGCTTTTGATGATGGGGTCCCCTGTCAACAATTTTCTTCTAATTTTAAAAATTAAAAACTTTGGTATTACAAACATCCAAACTCACCAAACTATAACATTAAATATGTGCAGTTCTTTGTATATCAATTATACCTCAATAAAGCTGTTTTTTAAAAAAAAAAAAAGAAACCAAATAGGTGAAACAAAAATTATGACTGAGAATAGATCATGTAATTAAAGGGATTTACTGATTTAAACTATACAATCAAAACCATGATCTGAGAGAGAAAAAAAAGAAACACCCAACAATGTGGGTGTTAAAAACAGCAATGGAAATATTTCAAAAATAAAATGTAAAAATAGTGTTCCGTAAGTGATGAATGCCAGTGCTTGCTAAGTGAAAATCTCAGCCGCAGTATTTGAACTGATGCGGAAACACTCAAGCTGAACTTCTCTGCGTTGGCTCTCACGCTGTTAGATTTCCAGAGAGTCTGTCTGGAATGCACGGAGTCTGTAACTTTGCAGGTCCCTACGCGTGGCACAATTGGCCCCAAATGTTCTAAGTCTGAGTGAAATCAGCTTCTCCCTTTGGCTCTAGAGGAAGGGGACAGAGGAAATTTACTCCAACGTTCCCCTCTCTCTAGAACTGGGGTTTTCATACTTGGATGCATATGGGAAATCTCTTGCCGCTCAGGCCACTCCCAGACCAATTAAATCACAAGTCTCGGGGCAGGTCCCGGGCACCAGCACTTTCTAAAATGTCCTAGGCGACTCCGATACGCAGCCAAGGTTGAAAACCACAACTCTAGCAAGACATAAATAATTAGTTTAGAATCACATTCATACAAGGCTTGCTCTTTGCTTTGGAATGTTTTAAAGGTGGTCAAAATGTCACTGTTGCTTCCATCACCACAATTCAAGTACAGAAAACCATCTCTCTCTCCTTTTATCATGGAAGATTTATTCAAAGTAGAAGGGGCTGCACGCTATTGAATCCTGGAACAGAAGAAGGCATTCATGGGAAAACTGGTGACATTGGAGTGAAGTCTATAATTTAGGACCTATACTACAGTAATGTTAATTAACAGTTTGTAAAATATCAACATTTGGGGAAGCTGGGTGAAGGGTGCATGGGAACTCTCTGTATTGCCTTTGCAATTCTTCTGTAAGTCTACTTATTTCCAAATATAAAGTCTAAAAATTAAATTTTAAAAAGAGAAGGTGAAGTTAGTAATAACACTACAACATTGTGGATTAGCTAGCAACATTAAATATCCATGGGCATAAAGTCTTGTACTATGGACTCAGGCACTTTGTTCCAAACACAACTTATGGGGCAACAGAAGCTTAGAGATGTTTCCAATTTGTGTGTGCATTCTGCTCTCCTTTTTTTTTTTCAGGCCCATCCAGACCCTACAAAATGGCATCAACAGCAGTTAATACTGAAAGACTCACTGATAGTGTATGACCTAAAAGTCCTATATTCTACTATGAGTCACAACACTGCTGGTAGTATCTTACACTTCTACAGCATTTCACAGTTTATAACACTTTCCAAGTATTAGTCTTGTTTGATTTGCGTGAGGAAATAGACAGTGCACAGGATATGCCATGGGCTGGAATAAAGGCTGGAACTTCAACTGCATCTGATTATAAAATACAGTGTAGCACCTACAGAAACACACACACACTACAGGTCACAGTATAATGCACCATTTGAAAACATGGTTATTAAAACATCTTATGTTAGTGTCTGGGGGCACATATTGCAAGGCTAGGGCTTATTGACCTCATATGATCATCAGCCTAGACTAAGTCACACCCACAGGCACAGCTTTCATTCTTCCCTTTTTTTTTACTGGGAACAGAAGAAAAGTTCAGATTATCAAAGAGCCCACCAGCCACATCCCTTGGCCCCTGATGTTATCGAGCCATGACTCTGCCCTGAGTCATGGCTGTCCCCTTTGTGCCTCTCTCCTGTCCTTAATTTCCTGGGGGTCCCTGACACCATTTCCCCCATGAGTCAGGTCCACCTGCCAGCTCTTTCTCAGGAACTGTCTGCCAGCTGCTGCTCTTTTCCATTGATCTGCTGGCCTCCGGCCACTCCTGCAATTGCTGAAGAAACCCTCCCACCGAGACATGGGTGGTGACCACACTTTCTCTAAACCATGCCAGGAGATGGCTCACATCCTCTTCATCACCCACCGCGCCCCCCCGCCGACACACACACAGAGCCCTCGGCTCCCCCAATGCCGCTCCAGGCTGCGGGACACGCTCCTCCAGCCTGGCCTCACACACATAAGCACCCACACGCCTTCCTGGCCAACCCTGGGAACCAGGACAGCTCAGATCAGAACACATGGTGCCCCTTGATAGGATACGAGGCCTGTGCTGCATGCCCCCACTTTCCTTTCTGTGATGTGCTTTCCTCCATCCCAGGAGAAGAGTGACTTTCTGCCTGGTAGTCAGCTCCTGGCTGGTGCTGTTCGGGCAGTGATTTGACACATGCAGCAGGCTTATTTCTTCCTTGTTGGCCCAGGGCAACAAGCTCACTCTTTGATTCTTATTTATTCAAAAGGGAAGTCTCATTGGGGCTCATGTAGAGGTCATGGGACTTTTAAGAGGAGTAATGGTGTTTGGGAAATGTGAACAATGGGATATGATTAACTGAGACTTCTGGTTTCCTTCTAATTAGTGACTAACATATAAATAGCAATTTCAGGGGTTTACAATGATTCTCAGGAGGAAGGATAGAAACACCTGCACTTTCTCGGTGTATATTTGTCTTAAAGCTTTGGCTCCTTCCCTCTACTGCCCTTCATTCACGGCAGTGCTGACTTGGCTCTACCCATAGGCAGAGCACCCCCTCCAGGCCAGGGGCCACCTCTCCTGCCTTCCTTCTGGCTCAGTTCCCGACAGGTTCAGGGCCAGGGGCTGACCTGGTTCCTCCTGGCTTTCTCAAAGAAGATGTTGACATCTCCCGCTGCCTGTTCCCTGATCACCCCACCATCTGAACTGTCACTAATTCAGAGAGTGATCATATGCCCCAGTTTATACCGCCTTTTACTACTAGGGTCTTGATTTGCGGTTCCCTGGGCTCAGTATATCCAGGTGCAGACATATCTGATCATCTCTCTTATTCATCAATGTGGCTGCTTCCTCTCCTTCCTTCTGAGCCCATCCTGCCTGGACAGCACCATCTGGTTGATGACGCATGGCCTCCCCTGTACCATCCCATTCAGCCACTAACTCAACCCTGATCTCTTAGTATTTTAGAAAATCATCTCAGTAATTCTAAAGATTTGGCCGGGGGGCGGCGGCGGGGAGAGTGTGTGTGTACACAGAGGGAAGAAAATTATTAAACATTTGCTTAGTCCACATTCTTATCTAGCAATCTGTGCAGGTTTTTACTATATTTTATTGCTAACAGTACATCAAGAAGGAAACTGAAATTTTTAGTAAAGATATTTCTTACTTGTGTTGCAAAACACCACGTTATAGTGCCGAAATGAAAGGCCATTGAGAGCAAATGTACTTTTCATCAGATGAGTGATGGAAATTCGATTTTTTTAAACTTTACTTATTCATTGGAGAGAGAGAGAGACATCAGTGTGTCATTCCACTTATTTATGCATTCATTGGTTGATTCTTGTGCCCTCACTGGGGATTGAACCCTCAACCTTGGCATATAGGGATGATGCTCTACCCAACTGAACTACGCAGTCAGAGCTAAATTTCTTATTTTTATATTCTCTCTATTTCAGCTTAGACAGTGAAACTGCACAGATACTTTTCATTTTGAATTTATCATCAAATTCACTTCCTGTTATTGTTATTCTAGCTCTGGAGAAAGAAGTTTAATTTCCAGAACTTTTCATTTCATTTTAACAGAAAACAAACCCATGCAAATCTAAAGAAGTAAAAATAAAAAATTTGGTTCTGAACATGGACGTGCTTGATTATAAGAACTACTTTACCTAATAATTTCATAATATGAGCATCATTCTAATTACATCCTTTGGCTGTTCCAGGCATGATCACAAGGCCTTTGAAATTCAAATGATGAACTTGGGCTGACCCCATACCACAGGACCCAAGTGGCCTGTAGCTGATTACACTGCTAACAGTTGGGACAGTGATTTCAAAGTTCCCTTCAGTTTCCGAGGGCTCCTGGGGCACTTACGTCTCATCTGTGAAGGCTATTCCAAAGTATTCCTTCTCCTTCAGATTGAAGTGAGATGCCACGAGGTCAAGCAGCTCCTTGGCCAAAAGTTTGGGCTGGAGGGAGAGCAAAATAGGAAAAGGGTAAGTGATGAGAGCTTACATTTCCTAATCACGCAATTTCCTATTTATATAATTTTTAAATGCAATGTATCAAAGCTCTAGCACATCAATGCAAAAGATTTTTATAAAACCCAAAGGAGTAGACAAAGAGAATACCACTGAGCAAACAGCCAAGTACAGATGGAGACCTTCTGCCTTGTTTCGCAGTAGTTTGTTCTACCAACAAATGGAACTCGCTCAGAGACAGGACTGCCAAGCCCAGGGTCTCGCCTTCCCGCCCAGGAGAGCATTTCACGCTGAACTGACAGGAAGACGCCTTACTTAAAAAGTATATACACATATAAAAAACTAAATATACACATTATGCGTTATAAAATATATATTTATGTATTTCTATAACATATTTTAACAAATATTTAATTGCAATATTAATATTATAATGAATATATCCCATATTCTATAAGTACATTTTATGTTACATATGTAATTTACATATATAAAAATATTATATATATTTTATTTATTACTATATTTTAAAATGTTACAATATATAATTATATTACTATTACAATTAATCAGTTATGTGTTATATAATATATATTACATTTGTATTTAACATATACTTATATGGTATTTGCTATGTGCCAGGCCCTGTTCTAAGCACTTTACAAATTCCAGGCTGTTTAATCCTCACTGCAGCCCTATGAGGTGGTCCAATCATTAACCCCATTGTACAGGGAGGAAACAGGCACCCAGAAGACTAAACATCTCTGTTTTAAGTGTTAGGACTGAGATTTGAATCCTGGCTCTGGACACTCTGCCTTTGAACACACTATACACTCCCATAATTAAAAATCCAAACAATAGAAGTACCCTCCTGCAAGAAATGTTAAAGTTATGGGAAAAGGGCCTTGTGAATAGTATTTAAGCATAAAACTGAAAACACGCTTTCTATCTGCTTTTCCAAAGGTGAAGATCAGACTTTACCTAAGAACGTTTTTATCATAAACTCTTTCCTAAGCACCTCTGCCAATGTAAAGGGGCATACCAGAGCTTCAGGCATGAAATCACTGTAGAGGCCTAGACTGTTCATATGCCATTCACTCAGTTCCCTCACTGTCGAGATGACCACAGACTGCCAGGCTCTGAGGCTGGGAGCCCGGGAAAGGCTGTCTGATGGAGATGCATGGTTAACAGGCAGGAATAACCTGTAAATTAGCTCCCAGGTCAGGGAGATGCAAATACATTTGCCTTCATACTATGGCAACTACTCCATTCCAAGCACACTTGCTGGATGTCTCCAAGCTCGGAGCAAAAACAGATTCAAGAAGAGAAAAATGTATGTTTGTTTGTGTATGTGCATGTACAAGGCCTGTCCAGAAAATATCCAGCCATACACTATGGAAAAAAGAGACATTTATTGAAGAAGATACCAGATGCAAGAGACACTGAACATAAGACAACAATGCCTCGGTCCCCTTCAAAGTAGACACCATGGGACCTCACACAGTTCTCCCAGTCACCATTACCTGCCCCGTCATATTTTCCTGAATCTCATCAATGATCTGAAATCTCTTCCCTTTCAAAGGTGACTTTAGTTTTGAGAAAAGCCAGAAGTCACAGGACACCAAATCTGGGCTGTAGTGGGGCTGAGTCACCTGGTTGATTTGATGTTTTGCCAAAAAACTCTTCACGATACATGATGCATGAGCGGGCCCACTGTCATGATGAAGCTGCCACTCCCCCATTGCCCACAGCTGTGGCCTTCTGAATCATGTGAATAGTTTCCACAGAGGAATGGTTGAGCTTAACGCAACATTTGATGCAGACTCGTTGCTCGTCTCGTTCAGTCATTTTGAATGCAACGGCCACACAGTACACATGCTCACCCAATGGCATCTACCATCCCCACTGACTAGTGCAGTGAAGTTGTCATTGTTCACGCTTATGCATTCCAGTCCAGTCTCCCTGGCTGCCAGTTTACATCAATGTCATGCAAACCGTTCCCATTATAGTAATGGTTGGACTTTTTCTAGACAGACCTCATATGTGCATTTATAGCCTTCCTGAGTATGTTTCCTATTCTGGTGGCTACTCTGTTGCACTCCTCTGTTAGGAGAGTGGAAGACATAGTATCCAGATTTACATGACAGTTTTAGAACTATCATATAATGCAGCAGTTTCACTTCTGGGTATATATGCAAAGAAAAAAATACCAACTTGAAAAGGCACATGCATCCGTGTTCAATGGGGCGTTATTTATATACAAGACATGTAATCAACCTAAGTGTCCATCAATGGATGACCGCATGAAGAAGATGTGGTACATATATACAATGGAATACTATTCAGCCATAAAAGGAAGGAAGTCTTGCCATTTGCAACGACATAAATGAACCTGAAGATATTGTGCTAAGTGAAATAACTCAGGTAGAGAAAGAAAAAAACATTATAATCTCATTTATATGTGGAATCTTAAAAAAAGTTTATTTAAAAATAACATTCAGAGAACAAATAGGTGGTTGCTCAGGAGGTAGGGGGGAAGTTGATATGGGTGATGGTTGTGAAAAAAAAGAGAGAGGAGTTACATGAAGGGTTTGACTTCTTATTTCCCTCTCTGGGTGCTGCTCTGGACTGGACTGTGTCCCCGCCCAAATTTGTATGTTGAAGGCCTAACCCTAATGTGATGGTATTTGGAGATGGGGACATTGGGACGTTACTAGGCTTAGACAACATCATGAGAGCAGGCCCTCATGACAGTATTAGTGTCCTTATAAGAAGGGACACCTGAGGGCTTGCCTGCACTCTCTCTCTCTTCACCGCGAGAGGACACAGTGAGGTTACCCTCTGCACATCAGGAAGACAGCCCTTACTAGAACCCATCCATGTTGGCACCCTGATCTCAGGCTTTCCAGCCTCCAAAACTGTGAGAAATTGTTTCTGTTATTTAAGCAACCTAGTATTTTGTTATAGCAGCCCTGGCAGACTAAGATGGGTGCACTTCCTTTAATTCAATATTACTGAGTGTTTAACATATGCAAGGCAGTAGCCAATTCTGCGGGAGATACAAAGTGAGCAGCACGCAGCACCTGCCAGTAAGGATTTTAGCAGGTGCACAGAGTAAGGGCTGGTGTTCCTTTAAAAAAGCCAAAGCAGATGGTTCCCTGATGGTGCCTCACTCCTGGGCTCAGAGGGCGCCAGCCCTGGGCCTCAATAACCATCAACTGACCAGTGAAAAGAGCTGGAAAGGACAGGAGTGGGTTTGAATTGAGGGCAGAGCTTCCTCCCCCGAAAGACATAAATCAACAGAAGAATCTATCTTGATAAATCAAAGCCATCTAATGTTCTATACTTCTGTTCACACTGAAGTCTGAAAAAGTAAAAACACAACTGTGACCAACAGGGAGTCCAAGGCTTTATGTAAGACCCTCCTTCATGAATAGCAGCAACCTACCACGAGGAATGGAGTCAGCGCAGCACATGTGGCTGGTCTCAGAACGTCTCTGATCAATGACTAAGTGCAATCCAAGATAAGGGGGCTCCTGGCGCTTCTGGCTGTGCTTGCTCTGCACTGCTGCGGGATGTGCTGTCTGTCCACCTCCGCCCCCGGAAGGCACCTCGCTGCCCAGATACAAAGCATTTAATATACAAGTTGTGACTGAATATAAGGCCATATGGCTGACTTTTAAATTGCAAAGTAGCATAATCTATCTGTCCAAATGACTGCTGCCCTTTTCAATGTCGCCTGTGTTTCTACAATGCCTGCACTTTCTTGAAACGTTTCTGATAATCTTGTGGATTCGCCTTTGAGGCTTGTGTCCCATTGGTAAAAGCATCCTCACTATCGATAAATCTTCTTGCGCTCAAAGTGAATTTTTTTTTTTTCAATTTGAAAAAGTCACTTGAAGTCAAGTCTACTGAATGGGGACAAAGAAGGAGGAGGTGAGCACACGGGTCAAACTGGTTTTGTAAAATGAGGTGTGGCTACAAGGTAATTATTGTGGGTTCCGAGGGTTGTGGTGAGGTTTCCAGCCCTGACTTAGAAATGATAGAAATAAGACTGCCCTGTCTTTGAGAGGTAAACTTTAAAGCCAGCCTCTCAATAGAATTGATCAGAGATACATAAATTCACCCAGAAAGAGAAAGAATTACAATCATGCATCACTTAACAATCAGGGCGCATTCTGAGAAATTCGTCGTTAGGCAATTTCACTGTTGTGCGAAATCACTGAGTGCACCTACACAAACCTACAAGGTATAGCTTACTACACACCCAGGCTACGTGATACAGCCTATTGCTCCTGGACTACCAGCCTGTACAGCATGTTACTGTACAAAAGTACATGAGATTAAATCAAGCACAAGAGAAAAATGATGCCATCCAAAGACCTGGTAAACATGAGATGTATGAGGTTGCTGCCAGGATAGCATGGCATAATGTGTTACAGCAAACCTTTTTTTTAACCTTCACCCGAGGACATTTTCCCGTTGCTTTTTTTTAAGAGAGAGAGGAAGGGAGAGAAACACAGAGGAAGGCAGAGAAAAGCATCGACTGGTTGCCTCTGATACATACCCAAACCGCGAATTGAACCTGCAACCTTTTGGTTACTAACGACACTCCCAACTAACTGAGTCACACTGGCCAGGGCACGGCGAACTTTTTTTTTTTTTTTTTTTTTTAACAAATAAGTAGAAAGAATACATTCTAAAATAATAAAATGTATAGTAAATACATGAACCAGTACCATAATCGTTTGTTATCATTATCAAGTATTATGTACTGTGCATATTGTATGTGCTACATTTTTAAATACCCGGCAGTGCAGTAGAGTAGGTGTGTTCACACCAATATGACCACAAACAGGTGAGTAATGTGTTGAGACCATTATGAGGCTAAGACGTCACTAAGCGATAGGAGTTGTTCTGTTCCGTTATAATCTTATGGGACCACTGTTGTCTATAAGGTCCATCACTGACTGAAGTATGACTGTACT